GATCATTCAGACTTCTCCAGACAGTGGCCATTTGTTTCTATTTTTAAACAACTTGCCTGTTTTCTCCTGTTTCACAAATGTGGAATTTCCCACAAATTACACTGTCCTGAAGCCTAGGAACAAATTAAGAACAGTGACAAGTTTAAAGTCAGATATCTAGCTTGAAGTCAGGCTAGAAACAGTATTATTAGCCAATGTAATTGGTACATTACCAGCTTTTCAGTTCGTGAGCCATGGGCTTTTAGCACTAAGATACCAAATCTTGAAACTTGCTTTGACTCCTTTAAGATCAAACCTTTATAACACCACGTTATTTTGCATGGAAAGTTGACACTAATCATGCTTTAGAGATTTCTAAAATGTAGTTGAGAAAATCAATCTGAAACCTGTATCATTGGAGTAAAGGCACTAAGGGAACCTGACTTTACAAGTGGGGAGAGAGAAAATGTTTTGAAAATTCCTTCAAAATATTTCTAAAATGGGTTTTCTGTGAAGGATTTCGAATTCATAGGATATGTGACAATGTGGTATACAGTTTTTTTACCAGCACTTTTGATGTATTTGAATAATGTTCATGGGAGTTTACCACTTCTAGGGGCATGTTTAAACTACATCCCTCTTTCGAAAGAGGGATGTAAATTAGGCAGATCAAAAGTGCAAATGAAGCAGGGATTTAAATATCCCATGCTTCATTTGCATAATCGCAGTTTTCTTTAGAAAAAGGGTATTTCGAAAGTGAAACTGCTGTCTAGACGCGCTTCTTTCGGGGGGAAAAAAACCTTTTTCGAAAGATCCTGAACTCCTCCTGAATTTGTAGCATTTGACAAGTCAGATTCCTCCAGAGAGAGGGAGGGAGAAATATTTTATATTACATTAGAAGATTGACCCAGTATTGCTTGGGTCCTTAACTCAAATTTTGCTTTTGGAAAATAATATGAAAATGTGCATGCTTTATTTGAATCTTTGCTTGGGGTGGGGCTGGGGTTGAGGGGTTCACCATGCAGGCTGCCCCCTGGAGAGAGAATTGCTCCAGCCTCTCTCACTGCAGTAGTTTTGGACCAGGTGAGAAGCACCTCTCCATGGCTGCTACAACTCCACCTGGCACAGCTGGGGGAGAGGTGCACTTCCCACAGCTGGGGCAGGTCCAGGTTCATCTGCCCCCTGTGCTCCCCAGCCAGAGTGAGGAATGCAGTAAACTGTGCACTTTCCCCTTGCTCCATGACAAAGGGGAACAGCCAGCAAGGTTGCCATATAAATATGGGGGAAAGGAAGAATCATTATATAGACTTTGCCGTCGTCAGCTGAGGAGTTGGGGGGGTGGGAGGCTCAGGGCTGGAGATGACCCGTTTCACCTGTCTGATGATTGTCTCTTTTTCACTTGGTTTTATGAGACGCAATCCCATTGCAGTCACATCCCATTTTCCTGGCACAGCCGTACACTTACCTTGCTTTAAGTTACGATAAAGAGGAAGCTGTATACCAAATTTCATGGTCCTAGCTCTTACTGTTTAGGAGAGTTCTTAAACAAACAGCCAGGTAGACAGACACACAGACAAATGCTCTCAAATATATAGTAGACGGAGGATGTTATTAGAAGCCAAAACATTAAAGTTTTCATTGTGTTTTTATGCATCCCCATGCTCAAGTAAACCCCTATGGAAATCCATCAGACTTTGGAATTTTTCCTTTAAAATAGATTTGATTAAATTAATGGATAAGTGTGGCTGACTTTAGGAAAATCCGTTAGTCCAAATACTAACATGCTTCATCAATATGAATTTTACTGTGGGTACCTGCATGGCCCTACCGTATAGCAAGCTTAGCCTGGAAAAAAACACACAAGAAAACTACTTCTTGGACACTACAGTATAAATAAATGATGGTCACATAAATACCACCCTGTATCAGAAACCTACTGAGTGCTAGTCTTATCCTTCATTGCTTCTAGCTTCTATTCAGGGCACATCACATGATCTGTTGTCTATAGCCAAGCCCTAAGATACAATCGTATCTGCTCCAATCCCTCAGACAGAGACAGACACCTACAGGATCTTTATCAAGCTTTCTTTACTTCCCCAGGTGGGTATTTAAGTTTTAAGAAACAGATTTTCAGAACCAGATGAGTACCCAGAAATCACCTGCTTCAGGACAGGCCCAAAAAGGTAAATAACAGAACATCACTGGTCACCACCTACAGCCCCCAGCTTAAAACCCCTATAGTGCATCATTGACAATCTACAGCCATACCTTGGAAAACAGGCCAGTCCTCACCTACAGACAGTCCCCCAACCTGAAACAAATACTTACCAGCAGCAACACACCACACCACCGAAACACTTACCCAGGAACCTATCCCTGCAACAAATCCCATTGTCAACTCTGTTCACATATCTATACAGGTGGCACCATCACACAATCTAACCACATAAGGCACAACATCAGGGACTTGTCCACCCACACGTACACTAATGCGATACATGCCATCAAGTGCCCCTCTGCCATATATATTGGCCAAACAGGACAGTCCCTACAACAGAGGATAAGTGCACACAAATCAGACAACACTCAGAAACCTGAAGGGGAACACTTTAACCTTCCTGGACTTTCAGTTATGGATTTCAAAGTAGCCATCCTTTTACAAAAGAATTTAAAAGATGGTTACAAAGGGAGACAGCTGAACTGGAATTTATTTGCAAATTCAACACTATCAACTTAGGATTGAATAAAGATCTCAACTGGTTAATGTATTACAAAGGTATTTTCCCCTCTCTGGATAGCCACACCAAATGCTGTGAATGACCCACTTCCACCCTGACTTGATTTGCTTCATTAACACAAGCAACTTCTTCCTTTTATATACTCCTGATTCTGTAGCTTCCACTCCGATTCATCTGATAAAGTGGGTTTTACCCATGAAAACATATGCCCTAATAAATTTTAGACTATGTCTACACTGTCCCTCTTGCGCAAAAAAAAATGCAAATCAGGCAAAGCGTGGAATATCACTGCACCTCATTTGCATAATTAATGAGGCTCCATTTTTGCACAAAGAAGAGCCATGTAGGCAGCTCCTTTTTGCGCAAAAGCTTCTTGCGCAAAACTGGAGCCTCGTTAATTTTACAAATGAAGTGCGGTGTTATCCATGCTTCACCTCATTTGCATAATTAATGAGGCTCCATTTTTGCACAAAGAAGAGCCATGTAGGCAGCTCCTTTTTGCGCAAAAGCTTCTTGCGCAAAACTGGAGCCTCGTTAATTTTACAAATGAAGTGCGGTGTTATCCATGCTTCACCTCATTTGCATATTTTTTGTGCAAGTGGGGGCAGTGTAGACATAGCCTTAGTGTCTAAGGTGCCACGGGACTCCGTTGGTTTTGCAAATACAAACTAACATGGCTACCCCCTGAGATGCTTCATAATGTTAGACTCAAAGAGCTCAGTTTAACAAAGTGATGGTTTAGGGGTGACTTAATTAAAGTCTATAAATGTCATCATGGGGAACAAATATTTAAGAATGGATTCTTTGGATATCTTCTTTAAGAATGGAAGATATCACACAATGTGATGCTGGAATTTGAAGCTAGACAAATTTAGAATGGAAATAGAGCATGCATTTTTACCAATGAAAGTAATTAACTCAGGGGTTCTCAAACTTTGTGATACCGTGACCCCTCTCTAAGTTGCTCGCAACCCCCCAGGGGGGTCAGGACCCACAGTTTGAGAACCGCAGAATTAACTTTTGGAAAAATGTACCAAGCATCACTGTGGATTCTCTAACACTGACGATTTTAAAATGGAGACTGAATGTGTTTCTAAAAGATAGTCTCTAGGAATTATTTTGAGGAAGTTAAATGGCTTGTGTTATATGGGAGGTCACAATGGTCCCTTCTTGCTCTGGAATCTATGAATACAAGTTCTGGATGGTTATTAAATGTAGTTGTTATTGGGAAAGCATGTCATACTGACTTTCAATATTTTTTTAAAATTCAGATCATAGATGGTTTGCAAGAAGAATATATTTACTGTGAAGGAGAGTTTGTTTACATGGTAGCTAAGGAGGACAATGCAAATAATTAATAGGAGGAAAAGTAACTGGTACTGTAATTATGTTGAATTAATGACTGAATCTTGAAGGTAGATATTTAGCTAATTTTAAAAAATCCTTTCCTTTCTGTTCTATTTGAATAGCTAGAATAGAGTTTTATGGACAGTAGATTGAGTTAGTGATATGCAGCATATAAAACTTATGAAATATTAATACACATTTTCAGCATTTTTGCTAGAGGTTAATATTGAACTAGCATTTGAAAATGAGGGAATAGATCAATATAAGTAATTCTTGTAGTTTTGATCACAGTAAATCCTGATCCAGTATTTTTGAATCCTTGCCCTTGTTGAGCTAGAATATGAAATTAAGCATTCAGATCTGGAAACCCAAGGCTCTGGAGAATTTTCTCTTTTGGACAAGGCTCTCAGCACAATGGAACTATCTTATGTAGCAGGAGTAAAAGACATTTCTGGAAGGCATTTCAATGAAGATACGATCTGTACAGGCCACATAGAGAAAGGGGGAGAGAGAGAGAGAGATAAGGAAGAATATGGTTGAATAAATGTTGGAGAAACACTGAGTTAAGCCCATTATTTTGTGCGAGGTTTGGTTAAGTACACCTACAATACAGGAACCTTTAAGAACTGATTCATGGATTACTGTTAAAATGAAGTTGGCACCTGCTGACTTGGTGCATTTTTATATGTAAAATTGATTTTCTGATTCTTCTTGATTCCAAAAGCAGCTTTGTAGTACGTTTTAATGTAGACTTTACATTTCTTTAATTGAAATTGATTAAACTGAATTTTGTTAAATATGTGTGGTCTCAAAAAGTATTTTGGCATTTGGAAATCAGTCTCTTTTTTTATTTTTATCTGCTGCACAGAGTAAGTGGTTGATGTAACTTCAGTGTGTAGATTAGTGTCTACTGTTAACATTCTTTTTTATTTCCAGTTGCTGGAATTATTACAGCTGATTTTGCCTCAGGCATGGTTCACTGGGGAGCTGATACCTGGGGTTCCGTTGATATTCCTGTCATTGGCAAGGTAAGGAAAGGTTGACTTGCATTCAGTATGAGCAATAGACTAGAAATAAATAATAATTTTAATATGCTTTTTGAAGATGAAAAATTAGGAGGGATGGTGGGTGTCTTTCTGGTTTTACACACCCATCTACCCACAGTAACTGGGAACCTTGACCAAAACTGGTGAGACAATATCAATTCTTTCTTGTGTATTGAGAAGTGTATATCACTTAAAAACTGAAGAAATTACCTTGTTTCAAAGGGAGTATTTTTCTAGCTACCCACCCAATAATAATTTTTTTTTTTTTTTGTAAAGTGATTGCTGTAAAATCATGAAATTTTAGTGGTCAGGTTATCCATTGAACAAGTTTAATTTGTGACATTCAAAATGCAGTTCAAAAAAGCTTATGCACTAAATCTAGTTATTTCTACTGTGCCTATCACTGTGATATTAGAGCACCAAAGTAAATGTTTAATTTTTAGAAATGCTTACTGATATCTTATGGTGAGATGTGTGGAAGGAGAGGTTTAAGTGAGTGACCTTTGTGCAATTGTAGAAAATGTTCTTCTTTAAAAAAAAAATCATCACTGGAAAAACACAGATCTTATTAGAAATGTACAATTTTGTTGATGTCTGCAGTTAGTGTCTGAAAACCACTGAAATAAGTTATTTCCTTGTGACAATGCCATATTTAGCACACTAATGAAAGAGAAGGAAAAAGTGATCTTTGATAAACTAATTATTTTTGGTATTTGCATCAGAGTTTAGTAAATCAGCATGCTGCATCTGCAGTGCTAACCAAACTAATCTAAAATACTGGCCTCCCTGTGGAGGTATAGAAATGTCATAGTCCATGGAGACTTGCACTGCATTTATGCAGGTCTGCCTTTTCTGTCATAGATTCAACAGACCTTCCCAGAGAAGATCTACAGTGCTTTAAACAACCTTAACATGGGGTTTAAAGAGATTAATGAATATCAGCCTTGTACTAAATAAATCTTTATCATTTGCTTTACCTACTACAGTAATTGCCTCAGTGCAGTGTAACACATTCAATCTGCCAGCTTGCTGTTAATCTCAAATACATCTTTGACAAAAGAATCCATCTTATCTTCGTGTGTGTGTGTGTGTGTGTGTGTGTGTGTGTGTGTGTGTGTGTGTGCGCGCGCGCACACATGCCAGATCTGGCACTTAATCAGGTCATTGAAATAGTATATATGAGGCTGTTTAGTAATATGAAAATAATTTGATTGATGAGACCATTCGTATGATATACATTACAAAAGCTTTATCTTAGCCTCACTTAATTTTGTACGTGGTATAGCATATATGCCTTCCTTTCACAAAAACAAAATATTAATAGAAATAAATGAGGCATGGGCTCAAACTGGTAACATCTGATATACATGCAAACAAATAAAGGGTAAGCATTTGTATGCAAGTGTATGTGTGTTACATATAAGTACACACACTTCTTAGATATCAACAATTTTGGTCATATATGTGATAGGTTTGGTGTGCATATTTGTTTTCATTTTTCCACTCTAACTTCTGATTTGCCGATATATAAATGCTTCTAGTTTTCATTAAGAAAATATTCAAAAGGACTAGTCTCAAAATTATTATTTGCAATTTACAACAGCCAGAAACAATACATAATAATTACAAAACACTGTTAAAGTAATTACGTTGAAATAATTTTACCTTCATATTTAGTAGAAATGGTACATTTAATTATGAGTTTGCTTCTAAAGTCAGTCCTGTCTAACATTATCTTGTGAATTTTTAAGTGAATATTATTTATTTACTTTAGTTACCTGGTAACACCCACAATATATTTTCTGTTTTCAGTATTGTAGACATGTTGACAGCAGGATATTAGAGGGACAAACAGGTGGTGAGGCAATATCTTTTATTGGATCAATTTTTGTTGATGGAAGAGGCAAGTCCCTCAGATATTGTGTTAAATACTAATGCTAAACAATCTGTTGCACCTTGGCCGTGTCTAGACTGGCCAGTTTTTCTAGAAAATCAGCTGCTCTACACTGGCCACTTGAATTTCCGCAAAAGCACTGACGTCCTACTGTAAGAAATCAGTGCTTCTTGCGGAAATACTATTCTGCTCCCGTTCAGGCAAAAGTCCCTTTTGCGCAAAAGGGCCAGTGTAGACAGCTCAGATTTGTTTTCTGCAAAAAAGCCCCGATTGTGAAAATGACCATCGGGGCTTTTTTGCAGAAAAGCGTGTCTAGATTGGCACGGATGCTTTTCCGCAAAAGGGCTTTTGCGGAAAAGTGTCCGTGCCAATCTAGATGCTCTGTTCCGAAAATGCCTTTAACGGAAAACTTTTCCGTTATAAGCATTTCCGGAAAATCATGCCAATCTAGACGCAGCCTTTGTGTTTAATTGTGACACTGAGTTCTTTTCCCAAATCCAAGGAAGAGGTCTGCGTAGCTTGAACGCTTTTCTTTATCAGAAGTTTTATTGAATATTTATATATTCAGTAAAATATATTATCACATCCATCTTGTCTCTCCAGTGTATTTTCCACACATTCAGAAAGTGTTGGAGATAAGAATGTTTATATAAGTCAACTAGATTCATGACAGGAAGGATGGAAGAAGTGGGTCATAATTCTGGACATGTCAGGAGCACTTGCAAACTAGTCTAAAGGCCTTGCATAGATAGCTGCATGACAGAAGTCATGGAGGTCTGAGAAGCAAATGGCTGTAAATGAGAAGGAATATTTATGGAGCAGATGGTCTGGGGGTAGTACTAAACTTGATATCGGTGGATATCTAGGAATGGGCATAGCATTGATGATGAGTTTATCTGATGCAATAGTGGAAGGGAATCATACTGGGGAGTGATATGTTCCTCAGCTGGATCAAGACAGATGACTTTTAAGAGCTGCATTTTGTATGTATTGAAGGCACATATACATGTGTGTGTCTTCAAGGCTAGAGAGATTTGCCAAAATTTGCAAGTGCAGAGCACTCACAATTCCCCTTGAATTCAAGCCCCAAAAGTCCTTAGGCCAAGGTAATATTGAAGTTAATGGCAGAGGTTGGGTATTTACTACTTTTGCAAAATCAGGCTGTAGATATTTTGAAAGTGTGTGGGTAAGTGTCTGTGTAATATGTACAGTTTCTTTGTTAAACTGAGAGGCAGTGTAATCAGGGCACTGGATTGAAAATCAGATCAACTGAGTTTTATGTCTGTTTCTGCCACTGGGCATGTTTCTTTTCTGATCTGAGCCTTCGTTTCCCCATTTGTAAAATTGAGATTATATTTGCTTTTCGTCTTTAAGTGCTTTGAGATAAGTATGAAAAGCTTAGATAAAAAGGTGTCGTTCCTAAATTCTGCAGTTCAATCCTGATATTTTCCCCTATTACTTCCTAAATTTTCTTAAATCTTTGGGAAGATAAGCTTTTGTATAAAAGGGATAGAAATGCATTGTGCATAACTCTGTGAAAGAGCTATGATATCATTTAATCTGGATTTTCAAATAGCCTGAGGCTAGATCATTGAGTCTGAACTGTGCATTTATTTGAACTGCTCTTGATTGAGGGGTGGGAATTTGCCCCTTACATTTAGGTGATTATTTTATACCATTTTTCTTGACCTTTCATGGCTGTGTTTGGAGCTTGTGGTTGCTAAGCTCTTTTTACCTCCTTCTTTAAAAATCAGTCACAAGACGACAACAGGTTTGAGACTGTATTTGAGAGGCTGGAAGAGTGGCTGGATTTTTCTTATACTCGCAGCAATCCTCACATATTTCTTGCTGCTGAGCTGCTAAGACCATGACCTATCTGGTGCTGTAATACTTCTTCCCTTTTCTCCTTTGACCCATTGTTTTCTGAGTTTCCTTAGAGTCCTGCCTGTGAACCACACATGCTGCAGCCTGATGCTTCTGTGTGTAGTGTCTGGGTTTGCCCTTGCTCTGCAGTTGACCTTGCAAGGTCTTTCTTTCCTGTAATGTTTATATTTTATTCATTTTCAAGATAGCGTGCCTACCCTCAGAGTTGTTCGCATATTAGTAACAATCTCCATAGCAAAGAAATTTACAGTGAATCTGTAATGCTAAGACTATACAAACACATGAAGCTTAAATGCCAATCCAGCCATTTCTGAGGGTGGATCTTTTTCTCCTATATAATTTCAGAATTACAGCCATTAATTGTACTAATATCTTTGGGGAGATATGTCAGATTTCAGGAAATATTATACCAATATTCTCAGTAAGACATGGGATATTATTTTTGAGCCGTTTTCCCATTCAATATATGTAAGATCTAGCTAATAACTGGCTACTTAAACTAGAAGTCTGCAATTAGCTATAGAACATTCCAGACTTGGCTGCTTATAGGTTAATCCCTAAACCTGTGTTTTGGAACCTAAAGGAAAAGGGGCCTGATTCCCAGCAGTACTAGGTTCCTACCGCTCCAGTGGGAGTCACTGTGCAGAAAGGGAGCCATCATTTAGCAACAATAGGATTGTAAAACTGACAAAGAACAGGGACAAGGAAAGAAAGAGATCTCCAGCTTCTCTGAAAGACACACTGAACAAAGAGACAAAAGGTCTTCCCTGCCTCCTGCCTGAAACAGAAAAGGATTAGTCGGGAGTAATGCCGGACACACAGACCAGGGTGAAGATCTTTGATTCTGTGCCAGAATTTCATAATTCTGTCCCGACGAGTGCACATGCAGGGACAATAACTTCACATTGCAGATGGGAAATTAGGCTTCTAATTGGCTGATATACACACAGTTGCCAACAACGAGATGAGCAATTGTGGTACGAATCTGGCCCTGAAGATGGACTTGGAGGCCAAAATGTTCTTACGTATCATTTTAAATTAGGGGGCTAGTTTTCAGAGGAGCTGATGCACAATCTTTTCCCAGGGTTCCCTGTGCAGCATAGCTTCTTCATGTCCACCCCTTAGGTCATTTTCTAGAAGTCTAGCCAGAAACATTCTGGAAATACCCATCCTACAGGTTCCAGGATGGAAATCTCAGTGTTTT